GGGAGTTTTTAGCTAAGAATATATATTGTATGATATTGGCGACTTCTCATCACCACAAGCACTAATTAGTTGCTTCAAAAATAATTCTATTATTGCAGGTCTTTGTCATCAGTTGATTATGGGAGTGGGCCTATTAAATTTTTTATTAATTTTTATATCGTTTGCTAATAATTAATGTACTCCAAAATCTTTACTTAAAAAAATTATAAGTTAAGAATTGGAAAAAAATGTGGTACATAAAGGATAAGAATATAAGACAGAATTATCTGGGTTTAATGTGCTAACATATTACTAATAGGGGAAGGGTGCTGCGGCACCGTTGCAGCTGTCGTCTAGTTAAGACTCTAACATTCAGCCACTATAATTAATATTATATTTAATTACAAATTAACGTTACTTGATTCAGTTAAACAGTTATTAATAATGAACCAAAAAAATATATTACTAATAATGATGAACTGGTTTTACTTTTATTAGTTAGGAATTCCCACCCACTTTAAGTTGTGATTAAACATTAAATGGGAATATGCACCATCTATCTTCCAAAACATCTCAGTTTTAGGGGGTCAAACATTTCATTTGTACTTATCTTGGAAGCTGCAATGTCCTGTACCCTTGAGTTCTAACTTCTAAGTGTGTGTGTCTATATATATATATATATATATATATAGATATAGATATGATTGTCCTAGGAGAAAGTCGATGCTATCATCATGTCTGAAATTGAAAGATAAAATGTGGGAAACAACATCATTGTACAAGTGGGAAAGCATGTAAATGTTTCGGTAAAAAATCAGATTTAATGGGTGAAGCGGACACTTGATTTTGAGGAAATTTGCAATGAGTCTATTGGATGCCATGGAGAATTTGACATATAGAAAAGAACTTTTCCTTGGAAAAGTAAGGTTGTGTTTGGTATCATCAAGAAGTGCTCTCGTTGTGGGATTTTTAATAGTTTAATATATAAAAATTATACACTAATATAATTATAAAATTATATAAAACATCAACTATAATGAATTTAATTATAATAAATTAACATTATTATAAAATACTGTAAGAAAAAAATACAATACTAAAACTCCAACGCAACTTAAATATCAATTCCAACTGCAATTCACAAAATTCCTTTAATACCCCCGAGTTTGAGCGTACAATGTGTACTGATGTCAATGCCATTGTCAACCGGAACTGACTTTCCATCTCTTTTGTTTTTTTCTTTTTTTTTGAACAGTTTACAATTTTAAGAGGTTGTGGAAAGAGATTTTTCAGGGTATTGATAAGGTTTGAAACCCGACCAATTAATCCAATCACCTTAAGAATTGAGGACAAATTCCTTGAACTGAAAGCTCCATTCTCACCTCTTTTGTATTTTTCTGTCAGATATTAAAAAACTACATTATCTTAGATATTCCTCATGGCAGCAGGAAACAGTAGGATTAAGAGACTGTTACTTGGTCAATGCCCAAGTAGCGCGGCCCTTGCATACTCCCCCCAGTAGTAGAGAAAAGTCTAAAAAAAAGGGCATAAAGTATCATTACTGTGTAAAAAACGGAACATTTCACCATCCAAGGTCCAGCTAGCTTAGCACTGCTGTTAAAGTAAACTCACTTGCAAGTCAAAAGTTGCATTCTAAGTTGAGATGGAAGACCAAGACCCAGCAGAAACTACATTCTTTTTTTTTTTTTACTTGACAAAGTAATGGCTAAGAAGTTAGTAGAATTAGTTGTTAGCAATTGGAACTTCTCAGAATGGTGAACAATCCATCCCTCAGAAGAGACGCGCGACCACTACGTCGCCAGTTGGTAGAGTTTAGGGCAATGGCAGAGCTTGAAGCCCTAACCTCCGCCTCACCCCCGCCTCACCCAAACCCTAAGACTTGGGAGCCAACCATAAGGCCACAGCCCCGGTTGGCAAGCACAAACTAAATTCGTTGCACCATTCGCACCATTTGCTGAAACTTTTCTGGTTAATAGAATATGGTAGTCAAAAGGCCAAGATTCTTAGGCCGCACTTTTGATTTTATGAAATAAAGAAAATGAAGAAAAACCAAATGTAGGAGTTGAATTCACGTGTCCACTAGTGAAAAGAGATGTCAAAGCTCTGAATCAGTAAACGAGGGAAGATGTTACTTAATTACGCTGGCATGCATAAACTTAGATCCTACTTTCATAACAAACTCCATCATTCTAACCAATAGTGAAAATAGAGCACCTAGCATGCAGTTTCATAGACATACCAACAACTAACAAACATTCAGTAGCGGTCAAAGGAAGAAGGGCGTCCTCCTCTGGGTGGACGATCATAAGGAGCAGGCCTGTTTCTGTAGCCTCTTCCATCATCCCGTGCTGGACCTCCAGTTGCATACCTGCTGCTTCCTCTTGAACCAAAGTCCCTATCAAAGCCTCTATCTTTACCATATCCATTCTGAGGAAAGCGATCAGAACCACCATATCTATCACCAAAACGATCTCCACCTGGTGGATACCTGCATTGTTTTCAGAACATAAATTAGTGAGTCTATGGAAGTTCTGCACTACAGCTGGCATGCACAAGGGGGTATTAGAGGTTATGGCTACGAAGATTTAAAGTAAAAGAATGCTAATTCATTCTCATTAATGGTGAAACTTGTAGCAAAAGCACAAAGAACTATGCTTAGACTGCACTAACCTGTCAGCAACATATCGGTCCCGACCTCCATATTTGTCATCTCTGCCGTCAAAACGTCCCCTATCTCCATATCGTCCACCATCATAACGGTCATCAATGTAGCGATCACGGTCTCTAAAGCGATCCCCATGATCATCTGGACCTCCATACCTAGAGCGTGGCATGCCACCTCGGCCACCACCACCAGCTGAAGGGCAATCCCTGGCCCAGTGCCCAAAACGGCCACACTTGAAGCATTCATCTTGTGCTACAGGCTTGTCTCCGGCTCCATAGCTTCCCCTGCCACTTGATGAGTAGCCTCCCCTATAGCCATGATCAGCATCTTCACCTCCCATTTTTGGCTGGGCCTTGTTCACAGAGATGATACGTTCACCTAACTCCCGTCCATGCATTTCTCTTATAGCATCATCCATGGCTCGGCGATCAGCAAAAGTAATAAACCCAAATCCCCGTGGACGACCTGTATCCCTCTCCAGCATGATCTACATGAACACACACTAAAGATGCTGATACCCAAAAATAGAGTGAATGCAAGTAATAAACAATAAGTTGGAATACACAAGTAAACCCAAACTTCACTAAGCAACACATAGAATCAGAAAAACAAATTGCTGCATAGCAGATGAAGCAGGAAAACAAGAACATTATTATGACATGGTCCATATAAGATTACCAACTTAGCAAAGGTAGGGCACAAGTTTCTACACTCCTGATCTTCTGCATACCTCTAGATTGAGGCTCCTATCTATCATATTACTGTACAACAGTACAACTTCATGAATTCACGTGTCAAAACCACCCCTCCCAGTTCCACCAACATAACAACTCCTAGTCTTCAAAATAAGGCAGGGAAAAAATAAAAAAGGCAACCAAGGTCTGCCCTTGCAGATCTGGTAAGCAAATAAGAAACATATGTAACAAAAGGATTCGTCAACCTAATGCTTTGGTCAAGGAGGAATCCAAAACCATGATATGTATAAATATTAAACAAAAATAGAGAAAATGAAGAAGTGGATAACTTACTGTCTCTTTTTATAGTGGATAAAGGCATCAACGAGTGTTTGATATTGTAAGGATTATTAAACAGAACAGAATAGTCTGGAGATTGTGCTTTTCACATCTGTCAAAATAGGAGACTTCCAATCTCAATTTCCCACAATCTGTATTACCAATTTAAAACAAATATACCAGTTTTCCTCTTCCATCTTACTGCTCTTTCTAAAACAAACAGAATCACATCAGTTAAACCAGACCAAGGCACTACTAAAAAGAGATGGTTGTTTCCACTACTCAGTCAGTCAGGCATCAACATTAACATCAATAGAAACCCTGCAAGAAGCCAGAAAAACATTTTCCAACTTCCAAAATAACCAATCTGTCAATCTATTACTCATGCAGCATAAGACATATCATCACCAGGACTCATCACAAATCTTCTTCACTATGAAGATTACACCAAATGCTGCCTTTGCTGATGCTGACTCCTTGATCCAGACATCAGAGAGACCAAGTCAATCATTGAATATTGCAGTCCAGAGTCATAGCAGATATTAAGAATCATCTGCTCAGTGGAAAACAAAGCTTAGGCAATGACAATACCCTGATGAACCTTAGATTAAATATCTGAGCCGAAGCTAAAAGTATGCTCCTCAAATCCACATGCCACGAGCTGATAGAACATATCAGATTGCCTTGTCACTGGGTAGAATGCTTGGGAAAGAATATAAGAACTTTCCAACTGGCCAGTGCAAATACCGAGATTTCAATGTCATACAGAATCAGCATTTAAGGTGGCCATTGCAAAAAGCTCTTCTTTTTCTTTTTATTTTTTATTTTTGAATCTGAAGGTCTAAATGCAGCAAAGCATGCTACAAAGGGCACAACCTACTGGGTCTCAGATAGTGCTGAACCTGTTCTCTGTCACACAAGACACAGTTCCTATTTATAACAGGGTTGGTCATACATGAAAACAGTCTCTAAATCCTGACAACTGAGGCTTCCACAAGACAAGAAGGAAAGAAAGAATGATGTATTGCAGTTTGCTAAAAGCATTTGCTAATATATCCTCCCAAAGAACTAAGACTTGAATTTTCTTCAATGATTATTCGTGATTTAAAGCCTCTTCAAACAAGTTGAATTTTACTATAGGTAAGAACAGGACAGCTGAATCACTATCCAAAAGCAAAAGGAAGACTGTCCTGAACAAATTTTATGACTAAACCACTACTGACTTCATTCTAAATCCAAGTAACTGGGAATATTCAAAGCACTTTCAGACAAAGTATCTCATACAAATGAGGCTGAAAACAGGACAAGAACCAAGCAAGTTGGCAGATGTGATGGTCTCAACCCCATGAAAAGCCAGTAATTTTGGCCTCTGAGACAAACTGCACGAACATGAACAGCATACAAACAGAACTGCTTTTGAGGTCATTGAGAATCTAATCTTGTCTAGAACTGTAATATAGAAACAAGGTTGGTTGACAGAGTAAATTCTAGAACTAATGATAAGGAACTTTTAATAGATTGCTGTATATCTGCATGCTCAATCCATAAGGAAAAGATGACACGTTCTTCTGCAGGTAAGCCAACAAAATCTTCACAGGAAACAGCCACTCAGGAAACGACGCATCTTAATTTAGGATTCCCAAACATCAGATTAGGCTCTTCAAATTTCAAGCAGACAGAAAAAGAAAATTCAGAAAAAAGCAAAAGAACTTATATTTCATGGCCTCAACCAACATCCTTTTAACCAATTAAAACTCTTTCCCCATATAGTAGCAACTAAACAGATTCAGCTATTTACTGTAGCTCCCTTCCATTAAGCACACAGTCACATACCATTATTTTCCCTTTCCTGGCCTGAAGATTAATAAGAACCATCAGGAATAATCTAGAAACAGATGATATTGCAGTTGAGAAACATGATGCAATTATTATTCAGACCAAATAGCATCTCTAAAACAATCAAACAAACAAACCCATTTCCAGCATGTCCGAATGTCACTCCCGACGAGACGGGTTACAAAAAATAACATGATTAATACCTGAGATTCGAGAATTTTGCCGAAACGATTGAAGGTATGCTCGAGCTGTCGCTCAGTAACGTCCCATGACAGCCCTCCCACGAAAATTCTGTACTCTTCTTTCCCTGCCATTGCGTATATTCACAATAAACCTTCAAAAAACAAAGCAAACGAAATAATTAGCCAAAAAAAAAAAAAAAAAAAACCCTCACAACTATGTTTGTTTCCTGGGAAAGTGAAGGAAACCTTCAGAGAAAGGAGGAAACTTTCGGTAGCTTATCTTACCTTGGGGTCGGTACGGTGACCTGTGAGAGCAACCCTAGCTAGACTGGTGCGCGAGGGAGGCGAAATTGGGGGAATTTATCGCCGTTTCAACGTCGTACATTTTCAGTGGGCTTGGGCCCTAAGGTACAAGTTACATAAGCGTAAGGTTAAGATAAGTAACCAATGGGCTTTTTGTAATTGGACCTCTGGTCCACTAAAAAAATATTGACGGTAAATTAATTATTTTTAAAAAGAAAACAAACAAACAAAAAAAAAATCTTATTTAAGAATAAAAAGTTTTTCTGTTTTGTTTGAGCAATTTTTCCTGCTCGACAAGCTCAACAGGCATTTGTTTTGGCTGTGAAGAAATCTTTTTCTTTTTTAAATATCGAGTATCAAGTCGTAAATATAAATAATTGAATATTAATTTTAAATAATTAAATTAGATATACATTAACAATATATTTGAGTCTAAAAAATTTTTTTAAAAAAGTTCTGTCTCCGCTAATAACAGAGAAAAATGGGTTTTTTCACACTATTTTCATAAATATAAATTTATATATTTTATAAAAATTTATATTTTTTAATTTTTTTAATTTTTTTAAAATATTAAAAAGTAAAATTTAAAAAATTTTAAATTTTTATTTTTTTTATAACTTTTTTTTTATAAATTTATTTTTTATAAATTTACTTTTTATTCACTTGTTATCCACTTTTTATTATTTTTAAAAATAATTTTAAAATTTTTCCTCTAATAAAATTTAAATTTATAATACATAAACAGTATTAATAAAAGTATTAATAAAAATAAAAACATGAAGAAACTTCTAAATCCGCTCAAACATAACTAAAAAAGTTAACTGCCTTTTATTATGCATTATCTTAGGCCCAGTCAGACAAAGGAAATTTCAGAAAGCAAAAAACTTATGGCTCACGGCATCGACCAACATCCTTTTAACCAATTTAAAACTCTTTCCCCCTATAGCAATTTACATATTCAGCTATTTACCGTTGCTCCATCGCCATGAAACACAAAATCTAGAAAAAGAGATGATATTGCACTTCATCAACTTAATGCAATTACTATGACCAACAGCATTTCTAAAACAATTAAAGAAAACAAACCCATTTACGGCGTTTGGAAATGTAATCACCAGCATCCCAACAAGACAAGTTACAAAAATTAATATGATTCATACCTGAGATTCGGGAATTTTGCCGAAGTGAATGAAGTTATGCTCGAGTTGTCGCTCATTGAAGTCCCATGACAAGCCTCCCACAAAAATTCTGTTTTCTTTCTTTCCTGCCATTGATTTCATACAGAAGTAACCTTCAAATCGAATGCAAAAGAAACAAAAATTAGGCAAAATATAAATCTCACGCCTATGTTTGTTTCCGGAGAAAATGACGGAAACCCTCCTTAAACGGCATTTTTCAAATGGAGGGAAGCTGGAAAGAAGTTGAATTAAAATCCACCGAAACCTTAGACAGATTGCACGGGGAATTTTGAGAGATTTTTATTGCTGTTTCGAAGCTATATTTTTTGATTTGGGCCTCAAAGTACAAGTTACTTAAATGTAAGTAACCATGGGCTTTCAATAATTGGACCTCCATATACCATGGGTCTTCAGTCTGCGTCTGTGAATAACTTTTCGTTAACCAGTCATGTTTTTTCTCTTTTAATCAGCTTCTTCAACCAGTCATGTAGTACACCCTACACACACACACACACATATTAGAGCTTTTGTTTTTATTTTTTTAAATAAAAGTAGTATAACTATAATATTATTACATAATATTGTGAACTTATGGTATGATATATTGTTATATAATTAATTATTGTATTTAAAATTTACTCATAGAATTATATATATATTTACTTATTTAATAAAACACTTATTAATGTCACGTCATTATTATAAATTTATAATTTTTTATGATATTCTAATTATAATATTGTTGTTTTTCAAAAATAAACTTAGGATAAGCCAATCATATTGTTGTAAGAGCCTTTACTCCATCGGATATATCAAGCTTTTCAGATTTTTCAGCTTGAAATTTTGTTATGGTACTTAGCTGGCCCAAGGCATGCTCCTTGGAAGCCCCTGGAGTGTACAAGTGGCATACTGGCATGCCATGGTATGAAGACGACCTGTACCATTAAGTATCACTATAAGTCTCCATTGAGAACGGTGGCATTCGTTGGTCTTGGACTAGGACAACTTCCCTTCATCCTAAACTTTTATTATGCGTAAAGAAATTAATGCATGATAAGAGGAGCTTGAAACGGCAATGAAATATCATTTCTTGCGAGAGGACTAACGATTCACATTTCCTAAAGTATCTTAGTTAGTGCCTAGCCTGCAGAAGAGACTGAAAGAAAGATATCCTGTACAGGCTGTAAGTACTAAGTAGCTTAAGGCCGTAATCAGGATCAGTATCCAGCTCTATTCCCATCCCATCAGCATCTTTCTTACACCTTCTTCAATCTTGTTTCTTGGTACGGGATGACCATTTCCTTCTTCCAGTAGGATCCTATAAACCTCCCATTCACGATCACGGATCATGTGCCTAGTAATCTCAGCCTGAGAAAAGACAAGGGAAACAAGTTTTGTTGGTAGTAAAAGGTAAACAATATTCATTTGTGGCACAGAATAAGGATAGAGACTAATACCGAAAATATATGTGTGTTGAGATTCTTGAGTGCAAGAGTAATGTCATAAAAAACAAGGGGCCTGCCTCTACCAGACAACTCAACAGGGTTTGCAACCAGTAGCTCTGTGTCAGGGCCTCTGCTCACCACAGCCACTCTAAGAGGATGCCACAGCTCCATTCTCAGGCGAGAGCATAATGCATTTCGCTTATTAGGGTCAACAATCTTCTTCCCATCTGCTTGTACTATGAACAAGTCCAACTCAGAGTTTCCTTTTGGGGATGCAAAGAATCGTCCATAAGAAACCTAAATAAAATGAAGTGTTACATGATTTTTTATGAAATAGGGAACACTCAACCAGGGAGAGAAACCATTCAGAGAGCTACTCTCCTTTTTATTGCAATAGTTGAATCAATTAAGATGTTCTACCTGGATATTGTAATCCTTCAATGTTCTCATGACATCGTAAATTAGACCTTTGTGGTCCTTGCAGTGGATCTGGATAAGTGTGTGGGAGGGGCTCAATGAGTTGTCTACCGCAATGGATATGGAGTTTGAAGCAAGTAATCCGCTGAGAGCAGGTGCCTCTAAACTGAACATTTCATCTGCAATTGCAGATGGAAGAAATGAAGTGCCTTGTGAACATGCAGTCACTTCTGCACCAGCTGATTCAATCTCACAACTTTGCAAGGTATCACCAAGTTCAGTTCTCAAGCAATGAATTGTTTCATTCCGTCGTTCTTTTGTGTGGAGAAGTTCCCTAAATTAAGAAAAATAGGAGAAGGCTCAATTAGATCACTTAAGCATGTAAGAAAATATTGCATTCTCATGCTATCTCGACTAAAAATGGACAATAGATCATTTAATTTACAAACTTGAAGAAATAAAGACACACTCCAAATTTGCAGACTTAATATTCCAAATTCTCCACTCAATTTTCTCCATATCTGCTGAAAAATTAAAGTGGAATAAAAGAACAGGACAAAGACTTGAAAGGAAAATGGTATAGAAGATAAAAGAGTGACACAAACAGTTGTGACACAAACAGTGAAAGAACATTGAATGCAGCATTCAATTTAAACGGAGTTCTCAAAAAAGACAAAACCTGGTATCTGTGACGAAAAAGAGGTCCATGACTTTCCCATCTGGAGTAGTGGATACCTTTACTCTCCTTATTGTAAGCTCCAGATCACAAAGAACCTGCGTTACATCTATAAAAGTAAAAAGAAACTTTAGAAAAGCTAAAGTATTGAAAGTTGCAGAGAGTGATCGTTTATTGGTTTGTTGAAAAGGGACACTTGCAGAAACTTAAAAATCAACAATCATCTCAATTAACCTATATCCCATGTATGCAACTTGCAAAAACAAAGAGTGTCTTAAATTAATTTTTATTAGCAATCATGATTGTCCTCTCCTTCCCTCCAATCTACCAACAAAATCATCTTTTTCCCATTTCAAGCCAAGTAGCTACAAAATGAGTTTCCTTCCCTGGTTTCTGTGGGATTAAGGAGACTATTTAACAGAAGTCATAAGTCATACCATTTCCAATAAGGTTGTCACCTTCTCCTTCTATCATCATGTCAATATGTAAACAATGCATCCAACTCAGCTCAATTGAAGTAATTATGCTTTTATGCAATTAAACTCAAGAAAGGAAAAGGAAGAATTCTCACTTAACTCTAAGTAATGATGCCTAGCAATTCCTACCATTCAAAAATAATTTCAAAAAGCATGCACAAAAAATAAATAAGAAATCAGCATCCTTCTTGTAGGGTTAAAGCTAGCATAACAATTTCCTTTCAAAATGAAAAATAAAAGAGAAAAAGAAATAGAAAATTACCATGCAATAGGCCTTTTCTATAACAAGAACACCAAAACTTCAAAAGAAAAACATCTGGCGACTTAGGCTCCTGGTTTTCAGGACGATAATAGTAGATTCCAGATGTCGAGTAATGTGATGGACACACCTCCACAAGCCTCTTCTCCAACAAATCCCACCTAATGTTGGTTTTACCAACAACCCAAAGCACTATATAGCACCATTTTCCATCTGTGGAAAAATCTAATCCACACAAACACACACACACACACACACAAATAGATCATCAGAGATTGATTTAAGCCTTATAAATTCCTATTATGATTTACAGACTTAAATCCAGCACAAGAACAATAAACTAAGCAAATGGATATGATTGGTCAAGAAGGAGAATAAACCATCAACTAATCTTCTGTCTGCTCCATGAATAAAATTAGGGTAAGGTGAAACTAAGGGGGGAAAAAAGAGAAAAAAAACCCATCATTGCTTTTCTTTTTTGGGGGCCAAAATCATTCCTTTCTTCCATTAAATTCTACATAAAAATGATAAAAATTATAACTTGTTATCCCACAATTTGTAACAATCCACGAGTAAAAATAAAATTTCATAAAAATATGAAGCCTTCAAGTGGAATTTACAAAAGCACTGTAAGCTTGAATAATCTGGATTCCAGATCAGAATAACCCATTCTCGTTTTGACAACAAATCCTGGACCTCACTTCAGCAACTCAGATAATCCCCAAAAAAAAAAAAAAAAAAAAAAAAAAAAAACAAAAATAGAAACAGGTGAATCAAGCTTACCTCCTTTGCAAATGCTCAATCCAAACCGGAGTATAACCCTGCACAAATCACATCCCAACCCCGTCTTGTCGGGACAATTCACAGTGATCATCGTCGAATCACCGGCGTTCGCCGGCGGACTAATCACCACAATATCCTGATACAAAATGCCCATTTCCCCTTTTCTTTCTCCGTTGCTAACCCTGTTCTTCCCCTGCTTTTTTTTATAGGCCCTTCACTCCTTCAATTCTCTGGTGTCTTTCCCTTTTATCCCAGTTGTTGTTCCCTTAGCTGGTGTTGTTTAGCTGTGGAATAGAATTCGGATCATTGTAGATTCTGTTGAAAGAGTGAACAGAAACAATACAAGTACGGTGAAAGAAAATAGATCACGGCGTTTTGCTTTTCAATTTCTCGTCCTTCCGTACATTTATCCTCGATATAAAAGTGAAAATGCATACTACATTCTCACTTGAACTGCAGAAAAATATAACGTACTAAAATTTTAAATATTTTTAATAATTTAATTAATAAAAAAATTATTAAAAATATTTAAATAATTTTATGAAGAGTTTTAAAATTTTAAATATTAAAATATCTTAATTTTTATTTTTCTTTTCTCATATTTAAAATATTAAAACTGTTTATTTGATTGTTTAAGCTTAGTTTGTTGAAGTTTTTTATAGAGTTTTTTCACACAAAATCTTATTTAAAATGTAAATTTTAAAATTTAAATTTTTAATTACTTTTAATTAATTTTTTTATAAAATTTTATTCATTTTAATTCATATTTCATATATTTTTAAAAAATAAAAAGAGAAAAATACATGCTACAACAATGCAGTATAATACTATCAAATTAAACCTCAAATATTTTTTATTTTTTCTTTATTCTTTAAGAACATTTAAATATTTTTATTAATATTATTGATATTTTAAATGTCAGAAGTTAAGAATATATTAATTTTTTTTTACAATAATTTACATAAAAAATAAAAATTAATTTTAAATTTATTAACTACTTAATTAAAATCATACACATAATAAAGTGCTAGAAATAATATTTATGTTTTATTTTTTATAAAAGTTTATTATCAAATATATAATTAAGACATTTTTGAAACATAAATTAAAAAATTATATTTTAATTATCAACACAATTTAATTTTTATTTATAATTTATGGTGGATAAGAAGTAAAAAACTTTCAAAAATGTGAAAAATTAATACCTCCTCATACTTAAAATATCAAAAGTACTTCATAAAAAATGATGATATTATTGTTACACTCTCAATTACTAATATTATACTTTTTTTATCTTAATCGACTAATATACTTTTAATTTATTAAGAGTTTAAGACATAAAAAACTATAAAATTTTATAAACAAATATAATATAAGTTTATAATAGATAATTATATTCAAATGATGTGAGTGTAACAATAATTTATCCCATAAAAAAATTCAAAAGTACCTACTTTTTTTTAAAAAATATTAATACATATAAAAAAAATTATTAATAGAAACTTTCTATTAATGTTTAGTTTTTTCAAAAATTATAAATAGGAAGTTTTTAAAACTCGGGAATATGCTAAGATCGGATTCCGTTGCAACCTCATTGGTGGCGTTTCCTTATTTTATTTGGCTTCAGAGGTCTAGAGTCAAAGAAATATCTTTGACTTTAATTTGTTCTAAAATTTTGGTAAAGTAGCTAAATGTTGTTTAAGGAAAAGGTCAAAATATATGACTAATAGATATAAATTGAACTGCTAGGGTTTTGCTTTCACATTTTACTTTGTTTAGGACCTTTAGGTAGGTAGTTTGGTGGATGTCAGGTAATAGGAGTAATAATATATTAAGAATAATTTTCTATATATTATTAATAAGTAAACGCTCCAAGTAATGCCTAACTTAGTAGTAAAATCATAAGTAAAAATCTGGTGAGTTTTATATGTAAATCTCTGCATAAAGTAGTTTGATTAAAATATCACAAAAAGATCAACTAGAACATCAACCAACAATTACATTACAGATATTGTGTTAATTAAATGATAGATATTGATACTCATACAATCTTTGCTCATATTGAAATTTCACAAGCAAGATTAAACATAGTAAATAATTAGGAAAATAATATAATACAGGTTGTTTTCTTAAAACTTTTTAAAAGATTTATTTAAAAATTTATTTTTTAATTAAAATTTTTAAAAACTAAGTGTTAGATTGAAAATATATTCATGTAAATTATTCATATTAATTTTTATATTAATTTAATACTTATAATTTTTTGATAAAAAAATTAATTTATTGATATATATTTAATGATATTCAATTTCTTTTAATCAATAAAGTAGTTAAGTTTATTAAAATAATTTAAAAATTAATATACATGACTTATATAAATAAAATTTTTAATTCAATAGTTGATTTTCAAAAGTATTAATTAAAAAAATTAAATATATTCTTTAAAAAAATAAAAAAAATGACCTACAAAATATTTTTCAATAATTAAATTTATTTACATCTTTTTTTTTTTGCCAACATATTTGAATTAGTTTGCTATGATAAATTTTTCTTAGTTATTTATAAGATAATTTTCTTTTATTTAAGATTTTTATTAAATAATTTAACATAATTTAAACAATATAAAAAAAAGTTTTGATCTTTAAGTAAATTATTGTACATGACAATTATATTATTATTGCCTCGCATTCACCATCGCTGTCACCTTACTTTTTAGTGCAAAAAAATATATACAAATTAGACAATTTGGTCGGCAAAAGTTATTCAATGCCTTCCGTAGAAACCAAGCATTTTTTTACTTTTAATTTTTTGGGCCGAACAGTTGAAACCAAGGTGGACCGTGGATCCCAAATTTCTGGAATTTATCGTCTGTGAGATGCCGACTATCTTTCAAAGTACCGCGATAAATTGGCGATTTATTTGGTGGTTCTCTGAAGTCCGAACTGTAGGACTGGGAAATGGTTGATTAATTAAACAAGTAACCAAAAACCGGTTAAAAATTAATCAAATGGTTGAATTTAATTGACTTCTTGTTATTTTTTCAATTTTGGTTGTGACTGAAAAATTTTGGTTGATGTTTTGTAAGAGGATTTGAAAACCAAAATTCAAACATATAAAACCAAAAAATAAAACTATTTTAAATATTTTAAATAAATATAAAATTTATTTTATTTTTATCTCATTTTCATGCGTCCCTTTACAAATTTTGTTATAATTTGAAAATTGAATTTAAAACATATTCAAAAGTAAAAAATTAAAAAAAAATAATTCAATTTTTACTTCCATTTATTCACCTCTTTTACATTTTTTTATGTTTAGATATCTCTTAAAATTCTCTTCTCACTCAAACCAGATGCAACCACTTTTCTCTTACTAGTGTTAATAAATTGCAACTTTTATCTTACTTTTATATCCGAAATTAAATCCATATTAA